GAAATTGAGATCCAGGGATGGGGACTATATCAGTGATAGGAGGTGTGGGGAAAAATGGAAATACAGTGGTGCCTTGCAAGACAAATGTAATTTGTTCCACGAGAAGCACTGTCTTGCGAAAAAATTGTCTTGCGAAAAGCGGCTTCCCATAGGAATGCATTGCAATCCATTCCTATGGAAACCTCGCAAGACGAATGAAATTTTTTCATCTTGTGAGGCATCGCGCTTGGGGGAAAAAATCGTCTTGTGAAGCACGGCCATAGAAGAAGCTGTCTTGCGAAGCACCATAGCGATCGGAAAAACCATTCGTCTTGCGGTTTTTTCATCCCACAAGGTGTTCGTCTTGCAAGGCACCACTGTACAGAAGACTGAATTATAAACCTATGTAAATTTTGAAAAGCAATTTGGTTCATCTTAGAATTGATGCAGCTGTCTTATATGGGGGTGGAGGCTTCTTGTTCCATGGCAAAACTCTGTTTTATCTATGAAGTGACCTTTTCTTTGCAAAAACATGTCCTCTATCCCTAAGCTACAACTTCTGTCCTCTTTCACTCCATATATCAGAGCTTGACATTAGCTTTGTATATGATGGTATAAAAATAATTGGAAAGCCTCCTTAATAATGCATATGAGGGAGTGTGTGCCTTCCAAGTTGCTAACTCTCTCCAGGATACATCATCTGTCTATATTTAATAAGGGCCTGTGCACACACAGGCTAATGAAGCATGTGAACTTGAATGGAAGATTTTTATGAGTGACATTCTAGTTTATGCCTGCAGCAGGCATGACGTGTCCCTTCTTTAATGCGAGAATTAAAAAGGTGCCTCTGGAAAAGGGAAAGAACAGACAAGCAGTGCTCAAATCATTTCAAAGCGAGAGGCGGAGATCAGTTCAGCAGTGTGTAATGTCCTGTTCTGAATGACCCCTGGCTAGTTATAAGACAGGAAGAGGGTTGTTCCATACTAAGCCTGAATGGAACTGTCAGGAAGAAATTTGCCAATACAATGGGAAGACGCTGAGTGTTATTGTTGGCCTCTGGAGGAAGAAGGGCTGGCATCCATTCTGGTGTTTTGAAAAACAATAGGCTGACAGGCGCATTTTCAGAAACAATCAGCAAAGGAAGAGTGTATTGGAACAGGAGAAAGAACTCTGGAAGATGTATCCAGAGATCATTCTGCTCTGCTTGGGTGCTCTCCTGCTGGATGACTGCATATGTAATGCAGTTAGGGAAAACAAAACTGCCTTGAGCTATGGGGTGGAATTGCTGCTTTGGTTACTCCCTACCACCCTAGCCAGCTCCAGGCATTCTTAGAAGGTGATTGGACTACAAGAGGAGTGCCAATCTGTGCTGTTCTTTGCCATTATCTCTCCTGATTTGGCCTGAGCAAACAGGAAGCATCTCCACCCTTTTTGTAGTATGTGTGTGTGTGTCTAATTCTCATAAGGATGGATATGCAAAACCTCTGCTTATAGCCCTTCCAAAATCTCAGCTACACTCCTGATTTGGCCTGAGCAAACAGGAAGCGTTTCCACCCTTTTTGTAGTGTGTGTGTGTGTGTGTGTGTCTAATTCTCATAAGGATGGATATGCAAAACCTCTGCTTATAGCCCTTCCAAAATCTCAGCTACATGGAGTTCACACACAGATCTTCACAGATGGTTTGTGAAGAAGTGTGCATTTTCGGTAGGATGCTGCCCCTGCCAAGGAAAGCCTTATAGGTTCATGGTCAGCCCCTTGAAGTAGCGCAGCCAAGTAGGGGCTGGTCTATTTCATTAGCAGCTTCCCAGCCAGATACTTTGGCCTACAAGTGTCATTAGATGTATGACTGATGGTCATCTCTCTGGCATGTGTCGGTTCAAAATATGTGCAGTGTCTTATGCTGGAGAAGGCATGGTTCCTACATGTAGGAGGTTGCGATTTGAGACCCTGCCACCCTCATTTAAGAGCATCTCTGGCAGCAGGGCCAAGATAAATGCTCTTCCAAGACTCCAGAGAGCCAGTACCTGCCACAGTAAACAGCAGTGAGTTAGCTGTCAAGATACAGTACGGCATTATGGAGGAGCATACAAGTCCCATTTCATATATTTATTATCTTGGTATTCCACATGTTCTCAAGGAGCTAAAAGTGAATTTGGACCCACAAGGGTGGGTTTCACTGACGCTAGTCCAACATGCTAGCTACTGTACCACCCTGGCTTCCATGCTGAGTCTTTAATAGTTCCCATTAAAAATCCCAGAGGCTCTCCTGAATTGCAAATGAGCCTCCTGCCTCACCCCTCTGGACCAGATTTGGCCTGGCAAGACCATAAAAAAGAAAAGTGGCAGGAATGTTATCTACAATGGATTACAAAGGAGCCCTAAAACAGATCCAAGGATAGAAATGAAGCAGAATTGCTATTCACTCCTCTTAGAGCCATTTTGGCTGAAGAAATGGGAATGTGGAGACCCAAAGGATCTTGGAAGGGGTGTGTGCAAGTGGTCCATTTGCCCTTCATAACCCATGGAATTTTTAGGGTTAGAAATGGATGAGTTACTTTTTGTACTGTAACTTGTATAACTCCTGGTAAACTCCAAGCAGCATGGCTATGAAGCAGGCCATATTAGCGCTCTCTCGCTCTCCCTCTCCCTCTCTGTGTGTGCGCACACGTGTGTGTGTGTGTGCTTGTAGTCCCAGGGGCTGGGAGTTCAATTCTCAACCGTATCTCCCCAGAAAAGAACCCACCTTTGTAGCTTTGGGGGAACCATACCATCCCAGGGCACCCTCAAAAGAAAAAAAAAACTGATCAACCTCATCTGAACACCCTCTACCTGGAAACCCTGGAAAGAGTTCCCATTAATTGGTATCAACATAAAGGCATATCATTAGGAGAGCAAAAAGTAAAATTTGCAAATTAAATGTGTTCCAAGATGACCGTGGATAAGAGAGTTTCAGGCAACCAGAAGCAAATAGACAAGCCCAGTTCATTTTTTGTGCACCTGTTGTAACTACAGCAGGTGCTGCACAATCTCCCCTAACACCTCCTCCTACTAAGTACTAAAGTAACATAATTACAGTGCTCTATTTATAGTATCGTGTTTTATTCTACAATAACTTTTTTTTACTGAAGAGTAAAACGAATTTGTGCTTTGAACCACGTGACGAGTGCACACTATAAATAAATCCACAGTGGTAAGTTTTGCCCATATAATTGGAGGGGTGGTTGTCCCAGTCTGGTTTGTTTAAATGTCTGTGTCAGAGGTGGTTAATGTTAAAGCGATTCCTGATCTGCTCGGTGACAAGAGTGGATCAGCTTTGGAGATCTCTTAAACCCATTGCCAACTAAAATAGGGTAGAAGGGTTCAGAGACTGATAACGAAAACGGCATAAAATGAGAGCAAAATGCCAATCAGAGTGAAACAAGATGGGGCTTCGGTCATGCAGGAGATATTTCAGATGCATGACTTTCAAAGAGTAGAAGCTGTTTATTAGCCCAGGCTGCTGCTGCTAAGGAGGGAAGAAAGCAAGGAAAGACAAAGGTGGTCTGTAGCCCCACCCCATCCCACCCTCTCTGCTCCACAAACCCAGTGATACTTAGTTTCAGTCACCAAACAGGCTTGGTCCAGAAGCTGTTCTGTGTGTGTCAGGGGTATCACTTGGCAGAGCAGGCCCTAGCATTAGACAAGGTGAGGCAGTCACCTAGCAGGTGCTAGGAGGTGGCAGGAAGGCGTTCAAGGAAACAACCATGTACTGTGTGATCTCTTGTACACCTTTAGGTTAGATGCTATCAGTGGGTGTGGAGAAAGAGGATGCCCAATCATTAAGTGTTGAAGAAAGAGTCAACTATTGGTCGACTTAGCTTTTGCACATGGAATGGGACTGGGCGGCCATCTTCTTTGTCCCAGGCAGCAGAAGGACTTGGGTGAGCCCTGTTTATTGGTGCCAGTCATAGGCAGCTTGTGACTGGGTGGGGCTTATCCTCTTAAATTTTGGGTTGTGGTGACTCTCCGCTGGTGCATAAGCCACTCCGGGTGTTAATGTTTGTTTGCTTGCTTGTTTTTATGCCATCTACGTGGTGTTTTAAAGAGATCAGATTTGAAAGATCCCTTCTTCAAAAACCTTGGAGTCTGAAACACAATCTAAGGCAGTGGTCCCCAATCTTGGGCCTCCAGGTGTTCTTGGACTACAGCTCCCAGAAGCCTTCACCACCTCTGCTGGCCAGGATTTCTGGGAGTTGAAGTCCAAGAACATCTGGAAGCCCAAGGTTGGGGACCACTGATCTAAGGGAAACAGAAGAGGCAGTGGAGTAGAATGGAGGGACATTTGAAATAGGAGAGGCTGGAGGAGATTCTTTTCTAAGGCAGCTGGTCTCCCACTGTCACTCTTTTAACCAGAACTGTGCAGTGATCCATTGGGGATTCTGGGAGCTTTAGTCCCCACGAAAAGATTTTTCCTATCAGATAAAGAGTAGTGAACCTTATGTGTTTGAACTTGGGTACAATGCAGAAACATGGGAGGAGAAGTAATGTCATAACATTGGGAGAAAGGTTCAAACTCAGCTACGGGAGTCTAGAGAGACGAGACAGCCAGAACAGAGTAAGGCTTACATTTGAATGGGCAGAGTATCACCTTCCATATGTTTGTTGGACTGCAGTTCTCATCAGTCCTGCTTTATACAGTCAGTGGCAAGGAATGCTGGGAATTGCAGTCCCACAAATGTCTGGAGGAGGAAGACTTTCCCTATCCCTAACTTATGGGAGCAGCAGATAGAGATTGTGAAGAGGCAGCTTTCTATTGTAATATATGTTGGTTTTAGTCATCCACCCCTTTGTTGTAGTTTTGTTCTTAAACCAAATGATTGGCTTCTCCATGGTCCCAGGGTACATGTCAATGGATGCTCAAGAGCATATATCCCATGGTATCTTTCTACAGTGGTCTCTTCCCATCATCCAGAGTCACTTTAAAAATCAAGTCTTGAAAGTAAATACATTTGGCTTTAACAAATAATTATCTTGTCTTACAGAGAGAGGATGCAAGCCATGGAGAAACAGATTGCCAGTTTAACTGGTCTTGTTCAGTCTGCGCTTTTAAAAGGGCCAAATACAAGTAATAGCAAAGATGCATCTAGGTAAAAAAAGAATTCATTAAATCTGTTTCTCTGTAATCATTTCCATTGATCACCATTACCACCATGGACACACACAATCTCATCTGATTTCGGAAGCAACGCAGGATTGGGGCTATTTAATACTTAAATGGACAGTCCTCAGGGACTACCAAGGATCTCCAAGTAGGGCTAGGAAATAATCTTGCCTAAGGCCTTAGAGAATAGCTGCCAATCAGAGTTGACAATAATAGTCTATATTGACCACTGTTGTGATTCAGCAGAATGCAGTTCCCTCCCTATTCCTGCAGAAAGAGCACGTATATTCTAGCAACTCTTAGGTCAGAATCCCTGTGGATGCCACTGGAATTCCTCTCATCCATGGGTCAGAATTTTTTTTGAGCAATAACTGATTCCCAAATGTTTTCATTTTTTAGCTCTGAAAAACTGACTTGAGCAGAGAGAGTATCGTGTAGAACACACTGAGATCCAACCATATTTTTCTTCTTGGCATTGTAATTAATCATGTGTTTTGATATCTGTATTTTGTGATGGAAGTCTAGATATTATAGCAAGATGGTAAAGCCTACCAGTTAATTAAATTCAAATGCAGCCCTGCAATGCAATGTAATGTAATAAAATAATAAATTGTGATTGCCAGCAAAATTGATAATTGATACATTGGCCAAACACATTTGTGTAACCATTTCTGCCTTTTCTATTCAATTAGTGAGAAGATGTTGAAAACTGTTCCCAGTAGAAGCAGCACTGACAAGACAGGTAAAACTTTTTGAATAATGCTCTTATTATTTTGATGTTTTGATAAGCATGAAAATGCTCCTTTTGCTTGAAAGGGGATTAGGAATTTTAACTCAAAGCACTGAATGTTCCTTAATGGCTCTAAGCCTCCAGAATGTAAAATCCATCTGAGTTGGAAGAAAGGACAGCAAGACAGATAGAAAGTATTTTTGCTGTTTCAATTTGGAGAGAAAGAAGAAAGAAATATTTTTAGTTGTAGTATACTGACAATGAATACAGCTTACGGTTTTAGTATCCTTTTTTGATGATTCAGGCAGATTTTGCCACATGTTCACAAAGTGAAAAATATGTCTTCTGCACACAACATTTTGCATGAATTATGGAAACCTTAAGAAAAAAAGGGGATCTTTTCCTCATTCTTGCAGTGGAGGTTAAAAAAGGGGTCAGTGATTTCTTAACACTGTAGGCTGTTTCGTTGTAGACAAGTAATTTTGCAAATAGCCTTCATAGTCTTAGACTTTATCAATCAGTTTCAGAAAACAGCTCTCAAGTCTTTCGAAAAGGAAAGGAGAAAAGAACAGGGCAAAGTGTCTGAGCCAGACACCTAAAACTTGTACAATCCTTGTGCAAAATCAAGTCTGCAGATTCCAGCAATGAAAAACTGTGGCCAATAAAAAGGACTCTCTTCTCTCCCCCTCCCCCACCACCACATCACACAAATCCAGATTAATCAACACATTTGTTGCTCTTATTAAGGTGCTAGCTTCATCTCCTGTAGTGCTTCCTTTTCCTGGTTTTATTCATTGTAACCAGTGATGAAGGGACGTGGTGGCGCTGTGGGTTAAACCGCAGAAGCCTGTGCTGCAAATAAAAAGGACTCTCTTCTCTCCCCCTCCCCCACCACCACATCACACAAATCCAGATTAATCAACACATTTGTTGCTCTTATTAAGGTGCTAGCTTCATCTCCTGTAGTGCTTCCTTTTCCTGGTTTTATTCATTGTAACCAGTGATGAAACTTGCAATGGGATGTAAACAACGACGTCTATTCTGTATGACTGATCTTATGACAAATCTTATGAAAAAGCAGCTGAAAATTTGCCATTGTTGGCAACAGAATGTGGAATGTGAGCTTGTATAACAACAAACAAGAAATGCATAGATTTCCAGGATTCCGACTTTTTAATGGATCGTAGAGCTTCCTTTCCAGAAATGTGTGGAAAGCAGGAATACCTGTCATGTCTTGTTTATATTGGCCTTTTTGGGGAAGTGTCAGCATTAGAGATGGGGTTATTCGTATGCAAATACCCCTGCATAGGTGGAGATACTGGCGGTCCCTCACCGATGCGATTGCCAAGCCACTCCTGGCAGGAGGCGGGACGACAAGCCTCTCTGCTAGGTCGAAGAGTGGCTCAGCGATCGCGATCTCCGGAGCGATAGGACGGAAGTGTGGACGTTGGCAACAGAATGTGGAATGTGAGCTTGTATAACAACAAACAAGAAATGCATAGATTTCCAGGATTCTGACTTTTTAATGGATCATAGAGCTTCCTTTCCAGAAATATGTGGAAAGCAGGAATACGTGTCGTGCCTTGTTTATAGTGGCCTTTTTGGGGAAGTGTCAGCATTAGAGATGGGGTTATTCGTATACAAATACCCCTGCATAGGTGGAGATACTGGCGGTCCCTCACCGATGCGATTGCCAAGCCACTCCTGGCAGGAGGCGGGACGACAAGCCTCTCTGCTAGGTCGAAGAGTGGCTCAGCGATCGCGATCTCCGGAGCGATAGGACGGAAGTGTGGACCCTGCAGCATTAGTGCATTGGTGAGTGGACTGTCTGGCCCCATGGGGCCGGACCCTCATTATCTCCACCTGTGCGGGGGTATTTGTATATGAATACAAATACCCCCATCTCTAGTCAGCATGTCTTCACTAGAGATTTTACTGTGTTTCCTCAAAAAATAGGTTTCTCAACTACTGTGTACTGAGTGCAGCCTTGTGGCTTCTTGAGATTGCTAGATGTGCCCAGTCCTGTGTTTAGACAATTGTTTCTACCTGGTGCTTTTTCTGTGGTACTCTCTTTAAACACAGCACTGCTGCCTAGGGCGAGATGTTTTAAGAGGCAGGCAGGGTGGGGTGGGTGTGGCAGAAAGTGAAGGAATGCAAGGCTGCCGGGCTGCTGTTCTCTGTTTCTCCCTTGGGAAGACGATGCAGTTTCTTTTTATATGCTTGGGAAAAAAGTTCCAGGCAAATGCCAGCTGGAAGCATGTGAGCAGCCTCAGAGGAACACGAGCTAGGATGTTTTTCTGCTTCCCTCATTTCCCCTTTCTGAATGGGAAACTCTTTCAAAAGTTCATCAGCTGAGCGACAGGCTGGCAACACAGGGATTTTGTATGTTGTTGGCACTCAGCCCATCTCTGATCTCACAGATACTGGGGTGGTAAAAATAAACTTGTTTATCCCCCTTCTGTGCTATATTTGGAGGGGAGTAAACTTAAAGCCCCATCTCCATAATCTGCAGTAGGATTGGGGACCGGTTGTGTATGTGTGTTTGTGTGTCATTTGCCATTTCATAATTAACTGCAGGTTCAGTGTTAACCATGACTAATAACCATAGTTCCATGCCTTAACTGCAATTAAAAACCCAAATGTGCAGTGAAATGTATAATAATGGTATAATATGGTATAATATGTTCTGCGTCCTGGGAAAACCTGGACAGGAGGCCCCTGGTTGTCACCTTCCAATAAAAATGAGTGGCTTCACTATAGCCTATTGGGGGGGGGGATGTAACCATGCTGCAGACTTTCTAATGGGTGCCAATCTGAGCTGATGGAGAATAAACGGGAGCCACAGGAGACCAGCTAATTGTTACTTACAGCATGAAGAATGGCTCAGTCGCTTGAACCAGCTGGATGGCTTTCTGCATGCATTCCTGTCTGCTTTTAGCAGATCCCAAGTGAGATGGATTCATTTGTGAGCAGGGTTATTTTTTTAAAAGTAATTCATCAAATTGCTCTTTTTTCTCAATGTTACTCTGCATTTGGAGAGTAATGTAGCAACAACCTATTGCCTGTGTTACTCTTAGTTACTTTTTAAATAAATAAATGGCCCTGCATGAACCCTCTGGCAATGTTTTAGGATTAATGGGTAGACACTGCCTGTCTCAGTAAACCAAGGTAAGAACATTACCTTGGCTTGTTTGAAAATTATTGTCATTAGGTCATAGCTCCCACCCCCATAAATAAACTGTTAACACGTAATACCATTACTTATTACCATTACTTAAATCAAAACCTCTTGTGGACTGAAGTAATAAAGTATAAATTGGCATTCTGAGTGTAAAAGAGCATCCCGGTCTTGTGTAATAATCTCTTTTGAGCGTGTGCTTGTTTTATGCTATCAAATCAGAATGGACTTATAGTGACCTTAGTGGCTCTTTCTGGCTATGTGAGATATTCAGGGAGTGGCTTTACCAGTTCTAATTCCTCCCAAGTGAGTTTCCCTGGCTGAGTGGGAAACTGAACCCAGGTCTCTTGAGTCCCATCACTGTATCCACTATATCATCACCACCATCATCATCAAACTACAGAGCTGGAAGAGACCCTATGGATCATCAAGCCCAGCCTCTGTCAAGGATTAAACTTCTGGCTCCACAGCCCGTTGCCTAAGCCACTGAGCAATCCATGACAAACTGTCATTATCTCCCATTGATTTCCCCCCACCTTTCTTTCCGTGCTCACTAACACTGTCATTCACCACCAGCTGTGCTGACTGGGGTTTCTGGGAGTTGCAGTTCAAAAGCATCCAAGTAACAAAGGTTAAGAAGCACTGGCCTAAACCACTGAGCTATCCATGACAAACTGTCATTATCTCCCATTGATTTCCCACCTTTCTTTCCGTGCTCACTAACACCGTCCATTCTTCACCATCGCTCGGTCAATGATTAAATTTAGTGGGGAGGCAATCTACAATTTGACAGGACAATCTGGAATATTGTTCTCATGCTGTCCAGTGAATTAAGTATTCCGTAGGAGCGCTGACATTTCATGATTGCAACAGAAGAAGGAAAGGTAGCTCATTTCTAATGAAATCATTGACTGTGGCTTATTTCCAGGATCTCTTCATGTGTCGAGTGGGAAGAATTCATTAGGAGCCACTGAGGCAGCCAGTTCAAGTCCCAGCCATTCCCTTCCAGTGGGTTCCACAGCCATGCAAGTCAGCCTCTTTGACATGAAACGCAATGTGTCAGATCTCCGTTTTCAACTACACCAGATGAGACAGCTGCAGGTACTAAGGCCATCTCTTGATGCTTGGAGGAGGAGAGAGAGCTGTGTTGGGAACATCTTTCAAGCAATATATATGTGCGCGCACACAAACACACACACACACACACATATACTGTAGAGCTTTAAAGGTAAACAAATGTATTGTGGCATAAACCTCAGCAACATTCAGTGTGACTCAAGAAATTTTCAAGCAATATATATGTGCGGGGGCACACACACACACACGCGCGCGCACACACACACACACACACACACACACACACACACTGTAGAGCTTTAAAGGCAAACAAATGTATTGTGGCATAAACGTCAGCAACATTCAGTGTGACTCAAGAAATTTGCTAATCTCACAGGTCCATTGTTCGGTTTTTGCTGCACTAGGACCCCACCAATATGACAGGATATTTCTATACATATCTTGTTGCCCTAAATGACAACTTGGCTACAGAAGGAAAAAAACATATGTCTAGTGAAGCAGATTACGTATAGTCCATGAAAGCTCACGCTGAAATAAAGTTGCTGGTCTTACTGGCACCACAATAGTTTTGTTTTTGTTGGTGGTGAAAAGGACTAGCATGGCAATCTCTCTGAAAAGAATAAAAAAGAGAATCAAAATACTGAAAACCAAAGATTGTAACAGTTTGCGTATTATCTAAACAACACTTGCTATTCTGAGGTCAGTGTTAGATTTAAATTGACAACCCTGGTGATATTCAGTTCTCCTCCCAGGAGATTATACTGTAAACAATGACAATGGTTGATAGCTAACCCAGGTTATAGATAACAAATGGAAACAACATGGTAATGAGTATCTCTAATCACCAATGGAGGTGGCACTGATTAGTTTGTAAGGGAAGTATAGCTAGCAATTACAGCAGATACAACACAATATTTTATATTTGATGGCCCGAGGAACCTTGGTTTGTATTTAGTCCCTTGAGATGGCTTTTAAACATATGTATATATTTAAATTAAGTGGCTGAATGATAGGAGAGATTTAAAAGCTATTCTGCCCTTAAACTCCACAAAGCTAAATCATAAATATCAGTGTGTTTAACAAATGCAGAAAGAAGATCATGTATATGAACTACAGGAGTGTGATGTCTACTCTTCTATGGTACACCTCATGGGTTCCAGAAGTGCACGTATACAGCAAGTCACTGATTTCCTAAGACATACTGTCTCGATGATCCAAACAATAAACAATGACAGGGAGGAAGGATAGTTCATTCTGTTCTTTGGCACAGCAGCAATGAAGAGATCATGTAAATATTTATGAAATGGTCTAAAGGCATCTACTGGGCGGTGCATTCATAACAGTACAAAGGGTGGCCTGTCTTTGTTCTTGAGGTTGATTGCTGTATGTTTTGCTCTCTTGGAGGTTTCTTTAATTTAGTCTTTCAGAGGCCATAGGTTAACTAGGAAAGAGCAGGAATAAAGTCTCCTAGCACACCTTCCTTTAGCAAATTTGTAATTGGCTTAGAGGATCAATAATTCTATGTTCATCTGTGGCTTGTAGAGCCACTTAAGTATATTATCAGAAGTATAACATAACTGATTAGGAATAATTTTGGATTGTTACATAAATGGCAAAAAAGAGCATGAAACTGTACACTTGGTAACCAAAGCAGGGTAAACTAGATAATTCATTCATACAAAAATTCCAAACTGAACAGCAAATCCCATTTGAGAAGCTGCTGTTAATTCTTTAGGGCAGTGGCTGTATAGCATATTCTAGGCCTTTGACAGTACATGGGAGAGAAATAATACAAATGAGGTATGGGGGCTCATCTCCATGGGAACTGTGTCTTTAGTTGTAGGCTTCTCGAAAGGTTCCCTGGTCATTCTAGCAAAGTTCTCTTTTATTCACAAGTTAAAAATATTGCTTTTCCCTGAAAATAAGACAGGGTCTTATATTAATTTTTGCTCCCAAAAAATGCATTAGGGCTTATTTTCAGGGGATGTTTAGTTTTTCTGATGTACAACAATCTACATTTATACAAACACAGTCATGTCATCTTCTTCTGGTTACTGCACAATGGTAGAGGGTGGGGTTTCACTTAACTGGGGCTTTTTTTAAAGTAGGGCTTACATTACGAGCATCCTGAAAATTTGTACTAGGGCTTATTTTCAGGTTAGGTCTTTTTTTGGAGAAACAGGGTAACTGAATTACACCACAAAAGGCATGATGTAATCCCTTGTTAAATTGCCATCCTGATTTAATGTCGTTACAGTATATCTCCTTCGGTGAGTGGGGAACTGATTAATGAGTTATTTCCAAGTTGGATCCTGTCCAATGATTTTGCTATCTAAGTGAGTGAGCCTACCTAGTTGCACTCATTCGAAGGGGACATCAGCACTATGGATCAGTCATAAGGATGACAATAAGGACTTGGTCCATGTTTTGGCTTCCTAAGCAACCAGAAGAGCAACAACTTTTACCCAGCTTTCATTCCCACTCGCAGTCCAAATATCTTCCAACTCGATCTCTTTGTTCTACCCAATATTATATTTTAATCAGGGGGAGAGGGCTAGAATTTGACTTGTTCTTTCTCATTTTTTTTCCAAGTTATGGTAAAAGAATGTTATTAATTCTGTCTAGAAAAATATGGTCCATTTGGACCATCATCTGGAAGAGCAGCTGCTGTGTGCTGCTAAGCAGTGGAAGGCAGTGAAATACTCACCAACAGTGTTCTCAAGCCATATAACGCCATATAAAAGAGCTCGTAAAAGCAGAGTTTGGGAAGGACAGTGTTTTTCGTGTACTATAACTCCCGGAATCCCCCTGGCAGTCTAGCCATCTTTTCCAGGAATTTCCGGGAGTTATAATCCCAAAATCTTAATGCTTCCAAGTTTTGCATGAAAGTGGATGGGATGGTTGTCCACCATACTGCAGTGTAAGAAACTTAATGCATTCCGTTTATTTAATGGAATTTAATGTGTGGTTTATAGACATCCATAGCATCTGCACTTTCCCCTTCTCCTATGCCATGTCTTTGAAATAACATTTATGTCTATAGTTGGAGGGAGAAATGGCAGGTTGTTGCTTTCTTTTTTTAAAAAAAGTACATTCATCTGCAAGTCAGTTGTTTTTCCAAACCAACTTCTGAGCAATGTGGTGAATTCATATACTAAGAATGATAGTCAAGCAGGGAAAATTGAAGCTGATTTCTTTTGTGTAACAGCTGCAGAACCAGGAGACGCTAAAGGCGATGGTGAAGAAAGCTGAGCTGGAAATCAATGACAAAGTGTTTGAAAGAGCAAAGAGGCTTGAAGATCCTGTGCAACGACAGCGCCACCTGGTGGAGCAAGAAAGGCAGAAATACCTTCTTGAGGAGGAAAGGATTGTGAAGAGTTTGTGGTGAGTGAAGCCAGCGTCTGTTTCCACTCGGCTGGTTTGAAGAAGATGCCTTTGTTATTTATACAGTGCAGCTTGGATCTTTATCCAGGGCTGTAACTGTAGTAAAGGTAAAGGTTCCTCTTGACAATTTGTCCAGTCGTGTCCGACTCTAGGGGGCAGTGCTCATCCCCATTTCCAAGCCGTAGAGCCAGCGTTTGTCCGTAGACAGTTTCCGTGGTCACGTGGCCAGCGCGACTAGACACGGAATGCCGTTACCTTCCCACTGAGGTGGTACCTATTTATCTACTCGCGTTTACATGCTTTCGAACTGCTACATTGGCAGGAGCTGGGACAAGCGACGGGAGCTCACTCTGTCGCTTCTAAATCTAGCCCCTCCCTTCCCACCTCATTTCTTTTTTCTGTCTTTTATATAATGTGTTGGGGAATGTTACATCTTGTATATTGCCTCAGGCAGCAAAAAAACCCAACATTGGAGTGATGCCAATGTATGTAAGGAAAAAAGTCTCATAGTGCAGTGGTTAAATGGCAGTCAAGACTCTTCTTATGACCTGAGTGATCCCAACCGGCTCAAAGTTGACTTAGCCTTCTATTCTTCCAAGGTTGGTAAACTGAGTGCCCAGCTCGCTAGGGTGGGGCAGTGTGTAGCTTGCATAATTAAATTTTAAAAAAAAATTGCCCAGAGAGTGCTTTAAATGCTACGAGGAGGTATATAAATAGCACACTATGTTGCTTTGGAAAGATATGAACAGTTCTCGACCTTAGGTGGAGTCACAGCTGAAATTCACAGTTTTCAGTCCTTGGATGATCCTGTGTAGAAACAGCTCTTCCAACATAGAACAAACTCTAGCTTCTGTTGTTGGGGACTGGGCCAAAAAGTCTGATTTTCCTCCAGCTGCATTGAATTGGAATTCTGTACTTGAACTCTGGCCATGCGTGGTTCCTTTAGTAAGCCTCTGCACAAGGGGCTTTTTAATCTACTGTCCCACAAACATGTCCAGTACCTGAGCGTAAATAAGTTACTTCTTCTGGATTTCTGCTCCATTCTTAACTGGAGGCTTCTGGGATATGTTGTCCAAAGATTCAGTTTTCTAAATAAGTTACCAGGGTTAAGTAGGACTCTGTCCATTACATTACACTGACCCCTAGATTAAAGTAGGCGAGAATAATTTCCAGAAGTTTGGCCACACTCACTTCCAGACTACTTCTGTTTTTGTTTAAAGCTGTCTTATGACAATTTAGTTGGTAAAATGTGATGACACTGTCTATGGAAACCATGAAGATCCCTTATGAGTGATTTTTAAAAACTAGTGGGGGGAGGTTACACTTAGGCCCCAAGGGAGGCACATTCAACCTCTGAGCCATGCTTTGTATTTCATTTAAACTGTGATTTGAGAACAAGCCAGGATAAAAAATCATTGTGTTATCTTGGTTTATTTGAACAAAAGTTCAAACTAACCATTGTTTCTGCAAGTTCATGGAACATATATAACTTTCATATATGATTGGGTATTTGATTGGCCAGAGGTGTGCATGGGGTTATTATAATTGCACTAAATAGATAAAGAACAATTGTTTATTTTTTAAACTTTCTGAATTGAAAAGCTGTGTGTTCTCTATTTATTTGAGAGTGAAAATCATTGAAAGCTATGCCTCTGTGTCACCAGGCTGCACCAATGTGATTATCTGTTTGAAGCCTAAGGGAAGGAGCAGGCTTTGTGTAGCTGTGCACACCAACAGGTTCTTGCAGAACAAATGCACTTTCCAAGAGCTTTCTCAAAGGCTTTTAGTCTCCATGTACTTTATTTACTTTTGTTAACTTGGGTGCATGCATATCACAAGGCTACATTATTTACAATGGTTTATATTAGATTTTTAAAATTTATTTATAATATTTTTTTAGCTTTCAACCTCTGAGCCATGCTTTGTATTTCATTTAAACTGTGATTTGAGAACAAGCCAGGATAAAAAATCATTGTGTTATCTTGGCTTATTTGAACAAACAAAAGTTCAAACTAACCATTGTTTCTGCAAGTTCATGAAACATATATATATATATGGTCAGCTAAAGAATACTATTTAATTAAAATGCTGGCTAAACAGAAAGGTCTTTGCCTGGCGCCGAAAAGCCAAAAGTGTTAGAACTAGGTGGATCTCTGTAGGGAGGGCATTCCAAAGTTGGGGGGGGGGGGCAACAGCCAAGAAGACCCTATTTCGACATGCCAAGAGCTTTCTCATAGATGAATCTATGAGGTGTGTAGTGGCTTGGGGGTTGGTCTGGATGTGAGAAAAGAAGATACAAAAATACCTGCTAATGATGAAGTGATTAACCTTGGACAAAGTTTGGTGCTTTTTAACCAGTCAAACAAAATTGTTAGGAGAGAATAAAAGGAAATTCAGAAATGTATGGCTTGCAGGGCCAGTCCTACTATTAGGCACTGTTGTACAACTGTCTTGAGTACAGCAGTGGCAGCCCATGGTGGTTTTTTTCCTCCTCCCAGGTGCTTCTCCTTGTCCACACACACAGACCTCCATTGGAGAACAGAGCTGTATGGTCAACACAGTCTGTCTTAACTCCTTCTGTATATGGGGGTGAGGGGATACCAGCTGGTCTTTCACCTCAGGCGGCAAAATACCCAAGGGAGGCCTTGGTTATTTTGTGAAAGGGAGGAATAAAACTGTAATAACATTTTTGAAATATTGATAAATATAAAGTAACTTTTGGCAATTTCAGAGGGACCAGCTTTCTGAGTAAGTGTGCTTTGGGTTGAAGTCAAAAGCATGCCAGTGGAAGGTTCTTTAATATATTTAATTGATCTTGTGATATTGACTTAGCCAACAGCTGAAACTTCTTTTCAGTGAAGGTGATAGATGCCCTCAGTGATTAGACCACAAGGAAATCAATAAGTTGTCCAAATAATTCTTCTTCCAAATGTGGATTTTGTTAGTTATTCATTAGCAAATTAATTGCTTTTGTTGCTTTTCTTAATTTATACATAGCTGTGTCTGCAAAATGGCATCTTTATTTTCACACTTGAGTTTGTTATCAGTCTGTTGCTGACATTTTTAATCATAGTGGTCCAGAAATAGGGTTATGTTGTTATTTACAATCATGGATCCCTGGGTGGTTGTAAATAAGAACATGCCATACCCTGGAGAGGTACAGAACGTTTTAGTGTTGCCAACTCAACCAAGCTTGAGGCTGATGGGCTGCATTTTTCTCATCCCAATTTAGATAATATACATTTAGTCTGTAGTTACGTGATTTAGAATGAAGCTTGGCTGTGGTGAAGTTAATTTTTTTTGAGATTTTCCATTTCTTTTCTCTGTTCCTGAAAAGTACCTGAAAAGAGGGACTCTCAAAAATATCAGCTTCTGTGGGGATTTAAAATGCTGGCACCCTGCAGTTTTTTATATCATGGAAACATAGCCTTTGCACCCTTCCATGACACTCAGATTAACGTGTTACACTGCACAGCAGTTGCATGAAGAGTTGTTTTGCAGGGTCAGTTGACTGCTTTAAAGTCTAACCAGGTTTCATGGATAAGTGTACAATTCTCTAGTTTAAGGTGATTTTTCCATCTTTTCACCATTTTAATGAATGAATTCATCAGAATTACTGCTGTTAGCCCAGATCAAACAGGTGTGAAGTGAACAGCAATGAAATTGGAGTAATCTTCTGATTATCTGCTGCTTCTGTTCCTCATCATCATCTTAAAAATTTATATTAAGAGCTGCTTAAGAATACAGTTTATGTGTTTGATAATTTTCCATTAATTGTGAACATCTACATTTGACTAGGAAGGGTTGAAGGCAGTAGGAAAAGAGGAAGACCAAACATGAGATGGATTGACGCCCAGCCTTGGGTTGCCAGATGTTCTTGGAGCCTTCACCACTAGCTGTGCTGGCCAGTATTTCTGGGAGCTGTAGTTCAAGAACATCTGGGGAGCCAAAGTTGGGAACCATTACCCTAAAGGAAGCCACAGGCTTGAATTAGGAAGCACTGAGCATGGCTCTTGAAGATAGGACATTTTGGAGATTGCTCATTCATTGGGTCACCATAAATTGGAGATGACTAGATGGCACATAACAAACATTTGGCAGATAATGCTGCAAAAGTGAATAATGCGCTGTATCCCTCCCCACCTCACTTACAGTCTGAGAGTAATTTAAAGTGCTTTTTTTGTTTGCTTTTACCAGTCATACATTAATGGTAATAGAAACCTGATACATGGCAGTCCAGTTACATAACTGGAAAAGACTCTTTTAGGCTGCAGTCCTTTAAACACCTAAGAATAAGGGTGATCATACAGACGTTTAGCTCAGTTCTTGAAACACTTCAGGAATGAGCTGCTGCTCTCTTGAAAGCGGCAACTGAATGAGGTCTTTGCTAGAGTGAACCAGCCTTCTGTAAGAGCACCTTCGGACTTTGACTTTACTTTACTTTGACTTTTTTGGTACAGGTAGGATTGCACTGATTCAGATCCTTTTTAGCATGTGTGATTGCTGAAAATGGTCCAAAGCAAGCCCTCCTCTTTCAATTTGCCAGTATCATGAAGTGGCTTAGTGAGAGCCACTTCATGATGTAGGTAAATTGAACACTTCTTCAGCTCCATGAATTTCCAAAGGCAATGTGAGAGAGTGTAAGTTTGGCTTAGAAGGGGCCAGTAGAGCAGTATCAGTGACAGGAAGAGACAGGGAATTTTTGTTTTCTTTTTGCCACGGGATCTTTAAGAGAAAAGCAAACAAAAATCCCCCTCCTGTCTCCTCTACCTTCTGGTAGTGGGCTACTGGGGACCAAATAGGGTTGCTTCAGCTCCCTACATACACCATTTGGATGCAAAGATCGCACCACGTGGCATACTAGACCTCCTAGCCAGTCCCATTTCACCTGCTCCGACCCACTCCAAAATGGTTGTGTAGACAAGCTCTAGGTCACAATCAAGTATCATGGGGATTATTTTCTGAACTTACATGCAAGGAGGGGGCTAGATACTATCTGTACAAAAACTGTGAAGATATTCCAAGTCTGTAAAATGGATGTTATCCCCTATGAAATGCCTATACCCACAATCAGAATTAATCACCTTTTAATTTTTCCCCAGTGACCTGGAAAGTTTTGTGGAAGATCTGAAGAAAGAATCTATGATGACTAACCGAATAGTTACGTTGAAAGATGTTGAAGACGGAGCTTGTCTCCTACGGCAAGTTGGAGAAGCTGTTGCCACTCTCAAAGGTGCTTTACTTATTTTCTGTTTTGATTAATTGGATGGCCTTGTTGAAATGAGGACTCTTATGCTCCCAACTTTAAAGAGACTCATATGGAAGTGAACTCTCCTGAGAGTCAGTAGAATCTAATCCCTATTCAGGCATTACCATGGCATGTTAAATCAAAAGGAAAGCAAAAGGAATTTTCAGCTTCTTCATTGCCTCTGCAGCCTTTGCTACAGGATGATAGTCTGAAGCAGGGAGAATTTGCTGTCAGGTTGGAATTTAGAAGTCCAACTTGCATGGAGAGTTTGTCATTGTCATGTCACACTATTGAGAATTATGTGCATTACACAAGGCGGTTGGGTTTAAATATGATGATGACTTAGAATCTTATCATATATCTTCAAGCTCCTTCTCTCCTGTCATCACATATTCTTCTTTTCTCCTCCTTTTTCCAGAGAATATCAAGTCCACATCTGCCTGTTTATGTATCTTCCTTGCTTTTTCCAAGGATGTTTGTGGCTTTTATCTTCACAGGTGAATTTCCAACATTACAGAATAAAATGCGATCAATTCTCCGCATTGAAGTGGAAGCTGTAAGATTTTTAAAGGAGGAACCTCATAAACTAGACATCTTACTGAAGAGAGTGCGGAACATGACCGATACCCTTACCGCCCTCCGAAGGTATTTATTTGTATTTGTTACATGGCATTTAGTTTATTTATTGTTAGGTTTTGGAAGCTTCCCTCCCTCCTTTCCTCCCTGGTGGTTTGCACACTGTTGTACCTTGTGAAATATATCATATGTTGCTACATTTCCTGTTGCAAGAACAGTGCAAATCATTACTTCATTCGCTTACGGTTTTTAAATAAATATCATTTAGTCATCGTATTTATGATCACATATGGAGGTCAAGATATGGAGACTTGGCTTTCATTTTTAAAGAAAGGCACTAGAGGGAGCACTTTTCAGAAAATGCAAGCAAGATGCTGTGAATTGCATTTGATAGCAGGGCTGCTTTCTCCTTGCAGGCATGTTACAGATGGTCTGCTGAAAGGTGTGGATCCCTCCCAGGCTGCTCAGTACAATGCCATGGAGAAAACCACAGCAGCAGAGGTTCTCAAAAGCCAAGAAGATATGGGAAATCGTCACACTTCTCCACAGCAGACGGTGGCTGAGCCCCCAGCAGAGTCATCTATTAAGTCGGAAGTGATCCCCGTCTCCACTGTGACTGTCCACCACGTGCAGAGCTCCCCAGTGGTCATCCATCAGTCTCAGCATTCATCTTCACTGGTCAGCCAGCCTCCCAGTTCTCCTCCCACAAACAGTCTCCCAGCAGCTTTGTCTGGGCCCAGCCACCCAGCCCCTGCCATGTCAGAGTCTGCGATAGTCACAGCGACAACCACCCAGCAAACACAGATGCCTCACTCGCCTCAGGTTTCTGTGAATGGCTCTGCTATGCAAAGCCTTTTCATTGAAGAACTTCACAATGCCACGACAAGGAACAGAGCGCTGTTGATCGAGGTACATTTTGTGTGCATTTTTGGGCTGTGAAAGGGTTGTAGAGCCACTTAGGTACACATCAGTCCCAGAGCCTGAATTAAGTAGTCAGAAATAACTCAATACTTGTGGCTTAATTCCTTTTTCCAGTAAGGAAAGTATAATTAACTTACAGTTGAAGCTCAAGAAGGGACAATGTCTCTTGTGCAGTGTCACTATAACTTTTAGTTATTTGTAAACTGGTCTCTCTAAATCAGTGGTTCCCAACCTTGAGTCCCCAGAGGCTCTTGGACTACAGCTTCTAGAAATCCTGGCCAGCACAGCTAGTGGTGAAGGCTTCTGGGAGTTTTAGCCCAAGAACACCTGGGGACCCAAGGTTGATATCCTCTGCTCTAAATGGAGTGATATTAGATGTGTCAGGTGCTGAGTCATGTTGCTGTATTTTTGGGGTTCTTTGCTTTGTACTGTTAAATGAATGGATGTAATTCGTTACAGTAAAAGACCAGCACCAAATAAATAGTACAGTACCAAACAGAATGTGTGCTGTACATTCTGCCAACTACCACGTCCACAGAGTACATCAGTAATTCAACATGTACAGGACCAGACATTCCCTATTCTTGCATTGCTCCCTTCAGTGTCAGGAAAACTAGAAAAAATAAGCAAAAATTATGAAAACCCATAGCACAAATCAAACAGAATAAAGTTGTGTTTTTAAAAAAAAGGATTTGTTCAATCTGCTTAATTTTTGCATGTGGAATTTAGATGGGCACCACATTTCAAAAAAGAACAGGGAAAATGCGGCCCTGCCTATATACACATAGGGAATGGGGAGAGTGTGTTTTTTTTCTCCTGGGGAGGGCAAATCCACCCTATACCCATGGTGCACAGACATGGACATCTCTCTGCATTGTGTGGAAACTGTTCTAGAGCAGTGGTTTTCAAACTGGGATCCCCAAATGTTCTTGGACTGCAGTTCTCAGAAGCCATCAACACTTACTGTGCTGGACAGGATTTCTGGGAGTTGCAATCCAAGAACATTTGGAGACTCAAGTTAGAGAACTACTGTTCTAGAGAGTAGAGCTTTTTTGATTTGATTTGATTTGATTTCTATACCACCCCATTAGTACAAAGCACTATTCTGGGAGGTTTACAACAGTAGATAAAATATACAATAAGAAGCAATAAGCATACAAGAGTTAACATTAGTAGAAGAGGAACACGAAGCACCAAAGATAATTCTCTGTATGATGGCAGGAAAAGGAGTGCAGAAGTAAACAGGTTGGTGCGGGAAGCCTCCTGAAAAGTGCTTTAAGTTGTCTCCTGAATGCTAGCAGGAAGGGCCAGGTGTAGCTCCACTGGGAGCTGTTTCCACAACATCAAAGCCACTATGAAGAAGGCCTGACGTCTTGTAGAGGACTTCCAGGCTTCTCTCAGGGTGGCTAGCTGGAGTAGCTTAGCCTGGGAAGATCTGGTAGGTTGGGCAGATGACATTGGGGAGAGGCATTCTGAAAGGTAGTGGGATCCCAAACCATGAAGAGTTTTGTGTGCACATCAAATCTCCTTCTTCTCAAAGAAGATTTTAAATGGAAAGGAAATAGCTCATAAACACGTGCCAAGAGGCAACTGAGCAAAGGTCAAATTTGACAGAGAGCTGGCAGAACTGAAAATATCCCTTCATAATTGATTTCTGTACAGCAAGGGAGGGGAAGGGTTTGCTCTCCAGACATTGCTGGACTGCCATCATCCCCGCTCCCATTGGTTACGTTGGCTGGGAGTGGTGGTTGCAGTTCAACAGCGCCTGGAGAGCACATTCTATTCGCCTCCCCAATGTACAGTTGTGTGGATGTGAGATTACATAAATCACCAAGCTGAAACAGAATCCCAAATGTTACTGTGGGTATGTTTCCCATTAGAAAGCAGAGAGGAAGTGGGAAGAAAAAAGGCAGAACCTGGATCATTACAATGGGAAAGAGTTTGAAAAACTCCTTGAAGAAGCACAAGCAAACATCATGAAATCCATCCCAAACCTCGAGATGCCTCCACAAACAGCTGCCTCACCAAAACCTGACGCAACAGAAAAATTAGAAGTCTCTGGTAAGATTTGGTAGAGTGTAGAAAGCTACTGATAGTGCACTTTCCATCTTCTTAACATGATAAATGATGTTAACTACCCATTTCTGAGCAATACATCTTAGAAATGGGCTTGTTATTTAAGAGTAGTGGTGCCCCGCTAGACGATTATCCCGCAAAACGACGAATCTGCATGATGAGTTTTTGCGATCACCATGGCGCTTCACAAAGCAGTGTTTCCTATGGGCGATTTTCGCTGGACGATGTTTCGGTCCGTGCTTCACAAGACAGTTTTTTTCAGGACCGATGCTTCGCAAGATGACAATTTAAACAGCTGATCGGCAGCTTCGCAAAATGGCTTCCCTATGGGCGATCTTCGCAAAACGGATGTTTTCGGGACCGATGCTTCGCAAGACAGTGATTTAAACAACTGATCGGCGCTTCGCAAAATGGCTTCCCTATAGGCGATCTTTGCACGACGACGACTATTTTCCCCATTGAAACGCATTAAACGGATTTCAATCAATTCCAATGGGGAAACGCTTTTCACAAGACAATGTTTTCGCTAACAGAAATTTCAATGGAATGGATTAACATCGTCTTGCGGGGCACCACTGTATTTTAAACTCTGTTTACAGACAGGTAGTCTCTCTTGTATAGCAGTATCTTACAGAGTAATACTGCGTACAGGATAGTCAGAATAGAGCATGTTTATATCCTATTCAAGGAACAAGGGAAGCTGCCTTATTAAAGACCTTTCATCCATTGTTTGCATTGACAGGTTGTGGCTCTCCAGAGTTTGGGGTGGGATCCTCCCCTAGCATCTCTAGATATCAAATATCTTACATCTCCTTGACCTTCTGCAGGTCTGCAAGTGCTCTACCACTGAGTTATAGCTCCTCAATCATCAATGTATGCTTTTGTGCACCAGCTTAATTTACCCTTAGGCACTTATTTAACTTTTTCTTCCTGAAGTACACAGAACCCAGAATTGCTTAACATCTGAGTAATAGATTGTATGCTGAAAACTTCATTACTGATGACAAGGTCACTTCCTTGATTTTCAGAAGAGGCTGTCAACACAGAACAAGAGATGGAAAAACCAGTGAAGTCCCCACCTCCTCCACCTCCACGCCGCAGCTATCTGGTAGGACCTGGACTAAGCACAAGACTGGGTGAAATCAGCTACATCACCAGGAAGGAGACTACTGTAGCTAAGGTTTGGCAGTAGAGGCTGTTTAACACAATTAAATATCTAGAACAAGACATCTATTATGGGGCTGGGTGATTGGGAACAGAGTTTTTCCTATTCTAAATGTTATCTTGAAATACATAATGTGGGAAGGGGATGGGAGTTACATGTCCTGGGCAGGCAGCCAAGGAGATCACCCAGGAAACACACCTTGTAAAAGGCCCGTGTTTGTTCTTTATACTTACACACTGATTTTATCCACTGAGTTCAAAGTAGCATGCATTGCTCTTCCTCCTACTTTATTCCCTTTAATATTGTCACAACCGTCCTGTGAGATAAATCAGATATCAGTAGGCAGTGATTGACCTAAAGTGAGTTTTGGATCAGTGGGAATTTGAACCTGGATCCTCCCAGATCCTAATGAAACACTCTAACCACTACACTGCTGTTTGGGTTTTTGGTTTGCTTTTTTAAAAAATTAAGGATTCTCCTTCCTGTATTCTCCTTTATGGTAAAATGGAATGTACTGTATATCACAAGTTGTTCTCATGCTACATAAGTCTTAAGAAATTAAAATCTAATTAGTAAGGACTCAGATATCTTACACAGATAGAAGTAATCAGAAAGTGCAGTTCCACAGAAACCTCTTACGTTTGCTGTTTCTTTCAAAGCCAGCCCCCTTCCCCCAAGTTGAAGTAACATGAAAATGTTAATTCATGTGTTTTTTGTACAGACTGGCTCAGTTTTTACCTTGTAAAATAACCTAAGCATTATGATAATAAAAGTCTGATTTACCTTGGAGAATGTCATAAGAGCACACCTTCCCCAATTAAACAAAAGCTGGAGATCTACAGGGTACAATATTGTGTCTCTTTTCTACAGTGTTATTGTTGTTATGTGCCATCAAGTTGCTCCTGATTTATGTTAACACCATGAACGAGCGACCACTAAAGTGTCTTGTCCTTAATAACATTGCTCAGCTCTTGCAAACTCAAACCTATGGCTTCCTTAAAGGAATCGATCCAACTCATATTTCGTCTTCCTCTTTTCCCGCTCTCTTCAACCTTTCCTAACATTATTGCCTTTTCCCAGCATGATTTGCCGTTATTGCTCATGAGGATACCAAAGACCCACTTGTTCATCTTTCTGGCAGTCTAGGGCAGTGGTTCTTAACCTTTGTTACTCGGATGCTTTTGAACTGCAACTCCCAGAAAACCCAGCCAGCACAGTTGGTGGTGAAGGCTTCTGGGAGTTGCAGTCCAAAACTCCTGAGTAACCCAAGGTTAAGAACCAGTGGTCTAGGGTATCCTCAAAGCTCCCTCTAGCCCAACATTTCAAACAAATCATATTTTTTCCTGCCAGCTTTCTTTACTGTCCAGGTTTCACACCCATACATGGTGATCAAAAATAGAAGAATGTGGATAATCTTTGTTTTACTCTCCAGTGACACATCCTTATACTTGATTATCTTTTCTAGTTCCTTCATTACTGCCCTTCCAGTCTTAGTTTTCTTCTAATTACTGTATTTTTCCGTGTATAAGACTATACTTTTGTCTAAAATCTTTAGACTAAAAATTGAGGGTTGTCTTATACACAGAAGTAAGCTGAGGAGACAACAAAAACAAGTGGAGGGGAAAGCAGGGACCAAAGTGATCCTGCAGCACTTTGATCCCTTTCCCCCTACACTTGCTATGCCCCACTTATTTTTTGTAAAATTTTGGATTAGAAAAGTGGGGAGGAGGGTCTTATACATGGGGGCATCTTATACACAAAAAATATGGTACTTGACAGCAGTCTGTATTTGGATTAATGTATGTAGCTACCACCAGTTTTCCTGTTTATTGGTTCCTTGTTGTTTGTGGCCTATTTTAGGAAAGTAATGAGGATGCTAGTCAACAATCTCAGTCCAAAGTACCAAAAGAAGATCGGGGTTCACCCCAGTCTCTAGTTACAGGCACAGTTCCATCTGCAAAGGATGAAGAAGAAGAAGAAGAAGATAGAATAATGGCAGAACTACAGGTATGTCTTTGAGCGTATGAATAGGTATGTAGAAAGTAATCTATTTCTTCCCTTGTACCAAGAGCAAAAAAGGAGGGTGTAGATTATAACAGAACAGTTTCTTTGGTCATTGTTTTGCTTTTATTTTGTAATGAGTGTTCTAAGCTACAAAATTAAGCTTTTCTCTCTTCCCATATTTTGCCAAATTTTGTGAAGGCGTGAGGAAACATCAGTATAAAGTAAGCTGATATGAAATACATATGAGTTATATATATTTCTTGCTGAGGAAGTACAAATATATTTACAAATTAATATCATGTCAAATAACTATCCACAGAAAATATGTAAATAAGCAAACCTACATAAACTTAACTTAAACTCATCATACTGTACATGGTTATTGAATCTATATAATTATATTGTACTTTCATATTCAGACTGGATGGTGTAGACTCACTAAAGAGAACTAGTGAAGACCCCGAAGGGATAGAGTAAAGAAAGAATCTCTCTGGATCAAATTAGATGAGAGACCAGCTTTGCAATTAGAAACTGAGAGCTCATTTTCCCTCCTGTAATGCATTTCCTTTAACACTCTGGACTAAGCAATGAGGCTTCCAAATGAAGCCTGTATTTATCTCTTGCTGTCCAATCACAAAACAAAAGAAAGTTAATTTTCTAAAGAGGCGAGGAAAGTTCAGGGAAACATATTTTTTCTTCTAAGGAAGTTCTGCTTCTAATGATGTATTAACTATATCACCCAATCTAACCCTGATTCCAGCAGCCCATGGGGTAATTGGTTTGTGCTTGAAAAGAGTCTTCTCATAACATGCCCTATTTTAATTCTCTAGGCTTTCCAGAAGTGCTCTTACATGGATATAAACTCAAACAGTCATGTTGAACAGTCCAGAAATGACACACACACAAAAGATGCAGGGCCTGTGGCCTTAACACAACCCAAGGAGAAGAAGGTAACCGTGGCATTTTGAACTTTGCCACACACATGTGTTCTCACCTTCTTCCCTGGCTTCCACACTAACCCTGTGTCTTGTATATGTTTAACCTCTTGTGTGACACAATGGCAGTTTTCATTACCTAGAGTTACCATTCATCTTGACCATGAAGTTCTCTAAAGAATTGTAACCAATAGAAAGACAAAAATAATACAATGGAATGAGATAAATCTGCAAATAACTCAAAAAAAGGCTGTGGGGTGATCCCTGCTGTTCCTCACTCACTGATACATCAGACACTTCATATTCTTATGAAGTGTCTGATGTGCTCTGAGGGTTTTGAGGGATGCTGTTTATCTTAGGAACATAGAAAGCTGTCTTATGCTGAGTAAGACCATTGGTCGGTCTAGTCCAATCTTGGCAGCCCTGATGAGTGGCATCTTTCCAGGCAGAATTCTTTTCAAGCCCAACCTGTAGGTTCCCAATATTCTCTGTTGGCCTAACCCTGTTTACCTTCCAAAATAGGGTAAAAACAGATGTTCACAGCACCATGTCTGAGCCTGGTAATCTGGATTTCTGCAAAACACGCTTTTAAACATCTAAATCAGGGGTCTCAAACATGCGGCCCCCCCAGATGACAGTTTGTGGCCCTCGCCTTGCCTGCCCCCCCCAAGTGCCCACACATCCTCTGCTGTCAAGAGTAAAAAAAAAAAAGCCTTGCCTCGCTCGCCGGCTCTCTCCCAAGACAGCATCTCTTCCCCCCTCCATCCAGAACTGCAGCCTGCCAGCCAGCCCACCTGTCTGTCGGCTAAGGAAACTCCTGGGTGGCTTCCTCAGGCTCTTGCTCCGCTTGGCGGAAAAACTGATGCAGCCCAGCCTCACCCAGACTCTGTCTCTAGCAGCCCCCAGGTAAATTGAGTTTAAAACCCCTGATCTAAATGAATAGCAACAGAATATATTGATTAAAACTCCTTTGTCCCAAGAAATACAAGAGGTTAGACATTCAAGTTTTACATTAGCTTTCAACTGGATGGGGCTTGAAGCTTTTGAAGTTCCAAGCAAAATATCATTTAAAAACACACAATCTATTGTCATCCAGAGGTTCTGAATAATATTCATCTATCTTCTTGGGACACTATTACTACATGCTTACTAATTCCAAGACAGATAGGAGCAATGATAGGGTTGCATCTGAAGAAAGCTCAGCTCAGGGTTAGAGGAGATTCAGAAGGTCATCAGGTTCAACTTTCTATCCCAAAGGGTACACCATGAATTATCTCAAGACGTTACTCAGGAACATGCTCCAGATGTGACATGCAGTATTCAAAGTCCATAACATGGCCAAAGTCATATCTGATAATAGCATTTTGTAGCTTCCACAGCCTTAATGCCAGAATATTGCTTGCAATCTATGAAACTCACAATATACAGTATATACATATACATCACTACAGGTCCCATTTACACAGGTAGCATAGTGTAGCCAGTGCTTTGGCTGGCAACACAATGATCATGCCCTGTCTGCTTATGTCTCTCTCCCCCCCCCCACCTTGGTTTGGCCTGCATGACACTTGATTCCTGTCTCTCTTTGATCTGCCAAAGGTTCTTGTTTTTGTTAAGTACTACTAACAGATTACCACTGACTGGGAGTTGCAGGATTAAATGGCTTCTAGTATGCTGATAGTATCCTTTCAGCCTTGTATTGTGATCAGTCTCTGTTTGTTTTTAAATCAAGTCATCTGCATTGAAAAATAAGCCATCCTTTTGTACCTGTGGTGGTTTAGCAGGGCAGAACCGTAGTTCTGGTTTTAGAGACTAAAATGTATTGCAGTCAGAATCCCAAAACTTGGACATCATGATAGACAACAAATATTATATGGTCAAACACTCCTTTAATTTTTACCCAAATGATACTACTACTTTTTTGTTGCTGTTGTATTACAACAGATCAGATTATAGTATGCATTTTAAACTTGATTTGCCTGTGTGTACTGTTGTTTTTCTTAGACTTGCTCTTGTGAATCTGTTTTAGTTTTTCACATCTTCATGTAGCCCAGGGGTGACAGTATTCCTTGTCTCTCACTCACACACAAACACACACACACACACACACACACACACACACACACACACACAGAGCGGCGCGACTATTTATCGATACACACACTCTCTCTCTCTCTCTCTCTCTCTCTCTCTCTCTCTCTCACACACACACACACACACACACACACACACACACACACACACACACACACACACACACACACACACGTAGTCCTTCCTGGAATCCGTGACTTTAAAGTTGTGTTTGCAAAGCACTGGTCATAAATGGATCCCCATACTGAGTACTAAGAATTCTCTGTGGTGCTGCAAGTAGAAACTGGAGCTTGGAAATGCAGGGGGAATTGAATGAGCCCAAATGAGCATCCATTATACCACTTGCAGTAGAGTGTCAGAACAGATGGTGTCTGTCAGGAGGTTAATTCATCCTTAGCAGAAAGGCTGATGCTGGTGAGTTGCGCTTTATTATGGGAAGAACCGGCTAATTCTCATTGGTTACTGTCCTTTTAAATTAACTCTGTGTCAGCTTGTTAATGGATGGACAGCACTATTTTTAGCTGTTGATTTTTCTTAGCTTTTCCTAAAGAAAACAAAACACTCAGAACTCAATTGCATTCTTTTACTACACATGCAGCACCTCAAAGACCAATTTTAAGAATTTAAAATCAAGAATTTCAATTTTAAAAAATAATAATTAAGAGGTTATGTATGCTCCATCTGATATAAGCAGAACCTGAGTAATCTAATTGAGGCTCAAGGGAGTATTTGAGTCTCAATGTAATGTGGTGGCTGTATCAGAGGAACATGTTTTTGCGAGCCCAGCTTGGGAAACTGGGAACTTATTTGATAGGAGGCAACATCCTAGTCCATATGGCAGGGAAGTTTTATGTTCCTAGTGATTCATTTCAGACCAAAGATTGTCACAACTTCCTAAATTAAAACTTTCTGTTTCATATAGAACTATACAAAAGGGCTATCTAATCCAGATCAAGAGGAAACAAATGTTTTATTCATGGTAGCCAATATATCACACAATAAACTCCAGAAAGCTTATGGTTCATCCCCACATTGGCCAAGGACTACAAGTATCTAATATTTTTGTTATCTGCATAAGTTTTTGTGTAGCAATGTATAAAACGCCAATCTACCAGAAATTGGAATTAACCCTTGGAGAAGTACAGAAATCGCTGGAGATCATGGAGATGGCTCTGCGTTGATGTAGAGAGGGGTACATTCACATTAACTGTGCCTCATCTGACACTATGCCAGTTAATTGGGGGGAAATAGTCCCAGCTTTTAAGCCGATAACTAAGTAATGCAACTCTTCCCCCTAGGTGTATGGGGAGGCAACAAAAGATAGTGACGATCACAAGGACAAGACTGAAGGGAGAATGGAAGAGATGGTCTCGGATGCTTCCAGCATTGCTGAAAACTCTACCTCCAACAAACATTTGTTTATGGAGAATAAGGATTATGCCCCCCTAAATTCTCTTAAGTCAAACTCAGACCTCTCCTGTGTGTCAGAAAATGAAAGAAGAAATGGATCTGAGGAAGCACACTATCCAGCAGTCGAAACTGGAAGACAAAAGCTAAAGTATGGTGTAGAGAGAGAGACTGGTTATAATGCATCACAGAGTGAGCTCCATGGAAGTGATGGCTCAGCTTTTGTCAAACAAATGGACTCAGATACTGAGGAAATTTCATTAGCTTCTACATTACTACATGAGCAAGAAGTGCCTGCTAATGGCCAGAGTCAAGTAGTGCTCAGACACAAGGTATCCAAGAACATTACCTTAAATAATATTGATGAGGTAGAGTCGCCAACAAGCTCTCCAGGTGAAGAAAATCTACAGTCAGAGAATGTTGCTTTCATGATTACCAAAACAGCGGTCCAGTTTCTGTCAAGTGGAGAGGTCCACGATATAGTAAACAGAAAGGGTGAGGATGTGCAGACTGTTAACATCGATTCCAATCAGGAACCAATAAATCAGCAAGGCATATCAGACAATCCTGAAACTGAGGAACCAGTTGTTTGCTTGGACAAAAAACCAGTCATCATTATTTTTGACGAGCCAATGGATATCAGATCAGCTTATAAAAGACTTTCAACAATATTTGAAGAATGTGATGAGGAACTAGAAAAAATGATGACAGAAGAGAAGATAGAGGAGGAGGAGGAGGAGGAGAATGAAGAATTAGACATGGCTGATGCTCACATTGCAAAACAGACCCAAACAGATAGGAGGAAGTATACAGCTGAATACACAGGAAGACACAGATTTGAGGATCAGATTGGAGCCCATTCTTCACCTGATTCAGCAACTGGCATCACTGAAGGGCAAGAAATGGACAAGATGGATCTTGGGAAACCTAGTTACCTGGATGGGCCACATCCAGAGCCAAAGCTGGATGCACATGAGGTGAAGAAAAAATTCAAATTTAAATTTCCTAAAAAGCAATTGGCCGCTCTTACACAGGCCATACGCACAGGAACAAAAACTGGGAAGAAGACTTTGCAGGTGGTGGTGTATGAAGAGGAAGAGGAAGATGGTACTTTAAAACAGCACAAAGAAGCTAAACGATTTGAGATCCCTAGTTCTCAGCCTGAGGACCTTTCTGGTAAACAAGAACCAAATGTACAGACGTCTAGGACTGATGAAATTAGAAAGAATACTTACAAGACTCTGGACAGTTTGGAACAGACTATTAAGCAGCTGGAAAACACCATTAGCGAGATGAGTCCAAAATCAATTCCTGGAGTCACAGGCAGATTGGAAGGAGTTTCTGGCTCAGGCAGCTTTTTCTCACCAAAAGAATCCATTGTGCTGGAACAGAGTAATGCTGATGTTGAATCCCCATCATCAATGCCATCAACCTCCCACAAGGTACTTTAGTATGAGAAATTGCAACTCCAGCTGCTTTCCAGAAATCTGCAATAATAATCACCATTAAGAAAGAGGTGTCTTCTGATTGGTTTGCTTCCTTTCGGGTGGCTTGTTTGGTGCATCCATTAGGTGTCTAACAGCTAATAGATTGTGTGAATTTTAAAAAAATACACATTTTCCTGCTGATTTGGTGATGGGAAATCAAAGGCAGCTTGGTCAGTATTCTGTAGCGGGTGCAATGTCAGCTGGGACTGATGGTTAAATTTATAGGTTCATAAGTAGTTGAGCCTTGACCTCCATTGTTGATCCCTGGAATTAACCCACAAATGGTGTGACTTGCAACATGAATCCTTTTGGTGCTTTCCTTGCATGTAGGGCTTTGGCTTCTCACACAAAACAGCTTTGCCTACCGTGTGCCATGCTCTCTATTCCAGGCATATCAATGCTTATTTGTGTTTCCCTTTGTTTTTTTTTCCCACCTTTGCACCCCAACCTTTCTCACAGGCTCCAACCAGCACTTCCCAGACAAGTAGAATGCCAATCCCAGTGTCCACCAAAAGTAGACAACCAGGAAATGTGGACAAAACAAGCAAACAACACAAGCTGCGGGATCAACGTCAGTACAGACAGGTAGTTTTACCCTAACCCAAATGTTGGGATGGACTTCAGGCTAAATGTGTGTGTTTGGGTAAATGAGTTAAGTCAAGTGACCGACTTGGATTATACCAAATAATGGACTTTTGCCTTTCCATTCAAATCTGGAACTGTAAATCCAGGACAGGGGAGGCATGCAAATATTTAAATGGTAGCATTATCTTTTTACCATGCTTGTGCATGTCGCAGCAAAACATCTCCTGCTTGTTTGAGTTTTGTTTCAGTCCTCAGCTGTACTTTCTTCAGTGTCAGCAACAGAAACTGTTTGAAGCATTTCAGATGAAACCGTTGCTACTAACTCCCAGTTTTAACAGACTGCAAGCTGTGTCTATTAACTACCCACCGAAAAGCCTCCATACTCTTCTAACAACCCTGATGCATGGTCAATATGGTGATCAACCCCGATGTCTGGGTGCCATCCTTCCACATTCTTTCTTCTTTCAACTTCTTCTACCTCTGTACATTTTCTGTCACGTGGTTTTAAAGTGGAGGAAGGAGGAGGGAGGGAAATATACTAGGTCCAATCCACTGCCACAAGAGGTAGTGGAAGCCCCAGACTACCCATTCTTTATCAGCCTAATTACCCATGCACTTCCTTTTTTGGTTTATCATGTACGCTGACTTAAACTGTCTCCCACCATCTTTTATTTACAGGCTAACGGAAATGCTAAGAAAGCTGGTGGGGACTATAAGGCTACTTCCCCTACCCTGCCTGCTTCAAAAATCCCAGCCTTTTCTTCCATCTCTGGGAAAAGTAGTTCTGTGTCTAGTGGTGATAGCACTAACCTTCCAGCTCCACCTACTAAAGCCTCTGCCCCACCTTATAACCCTCTCAGTCCTCCAGCAGGTCGCCCTACTCATTCTGCTTCTTTAATTCCTTCTGTTTCTAATGGCTCTCTAAAGTTCCAGAGTCCTACTCAAACAGGAAAAGGCCATCACCATCCTTCATTCTTCATACCGGCTCAAAATGGCCGCCCAACCCCTCTGCCTCCATCTCCTTTTCCTTCATCCTCCTTCTCCTCTTCCTCCTCCACCTCTCCCACATTGCTGAACCAAGGTATGAAGAGCATCCGGTCAATCCACACACCCAGCTTCACCAGCTACAAGTCCCAGAATGGAGGCGTCAGCAAATCCACCCCATCTTCCACCACCACAAAGGAACCATCTTGAAATTTATATATAATGTGTACTGGTGTATGCATTCACTAAAGTCTTCTCAGTCACTGATGACACTGCAATGTTAGCTGAGGGATGTGTACCAATCCTGCTGTATCATTTCAGGCTTAGTACTAAACTTGTGCTAAATATTGGGTTGATACTTAAAATGCATTCATTACTGTTGGAATACCAGAGTGGGTTGGGGAGGTGGGGGGGAGGAGAAGAGTCTGTGTGTGCGCGCGTGTGCGTGCGCGTGCGCATGTGTGTGTGTGTGCGTGTGCGTGTGTGTACTATTTCTGCCAGAAATTGTTACATAAAGTACAAGGCATGTGTGTGAGAAGCATAAATGCACAGAAATGTATAAAGCATGAAAAGAAGTGTATTAAAATGATTTGTTTTGTATAAAGCTATTTTTAAGTACAAAAACTAAACATTGTGTGATAATGCAAAAATACAAGACTGAAACTAAAATATTTTTCTTTTATTTTACTGTTATTCAAATTTGTTACAAATTCTATTTTTGTCCAATAGAAAAAAGCAAAAAAGACTTCATGGTTACTTTGAAAAATCTTTTTTGCCAAAACATTTGATACTATTATAATGTACATGAGATCATAGTGTGCTCAACATTTTCTCTGCACAAGCCACAGCTAAGATGGACATTGACATGTGTGAGGCAGTGTTACCTATTGCACTGCCATTCGGATGTTATTTAATAATTTCCAATGCCAAGGAGGGGAAAAAGTCATTTTTACATTTAGGCATTTGCTGAATCCTTTTAGCCGAGTCTCTTCATTTTCCATTTTACTGAGAGCTGAATGAATCAAAGTATTATGACATGGATTTTTAAAAAAAACATGTGTACACTTCTTGTACTGTTCTGTATAATGGAAATCTTTGTACATATTATAAATACAATATGTGGCTGGGCACATAGAGTAGTTTTCAAAACCAAAGGTCCATTTTATGCATGGTTCTTAAGTAAGCTTTAGGGGGAAGGTCACTGTGAGACCATTGGTGAAGGAAAAGGGAAGGAGACTGATTTTAAAAAGCAACATGAATAAATAAGTAGTTTCTTTTGTAAATATTTGTACTACTCCATAATATAATATACAGATGCAAAAAAAAAAACCCCACCAAACCCAGAAACTCCTTGCCAAAATAAAGGGTTGCATGCGCTTATGTTTTGCTATCATTTTCTCATTCCTTAATGGTTTCTTAATGTATATGATACATTCTGTATGATGTATATGGTACACACATGCGACAATAATGCAATACAATGGTTAAGCATTTTTAAATCCCATTAATTTCAACTGGGAACTCTGCTTGTGCTTGATTCTGGTTCACTGAAATCCAAGGGGCTTAAATAGGTGACACTTATTGCTGCTAAAAGTGAACTACTTAATGCATCAACTAAATCTACGTGTTATCAGTCCATTGTCAATGCATCAAAAGGTAGTGGCACCAGGCAATTCTTTCCCCACCTACAGCCTATTTCTAACCAACTGCATTTAACATAATAACTATGGCTGCAACTGCACTGACAGACACTTCAGGATTTTCTCTGCTAGTAATGGGTGAAATCAAAGTATTTTTCAGTGATCACACGGCACAAAGAACAATATGAATCGGCCTGGCCCTATTTGCTTCCGATCCAGAGTTTCTTCCCCTGTTGTTGGGGGCTTCTACTTTTTCAAAGCCAGAACAATTTGAACAGTTTCATTCTACAGTACGTAGAACAGGAGGCATGACTTGGCATGGTATTTGGGTGGCGTATTAAACTGAGGTCTGATGTTTGGGGACAGCAGGAATGCCCACTCCCACAGTCTTTCTCCCTAGTGATCCTGAAATATTTGTTTTTCAAAATAAAAGTACTGAGCTTAGCACTAGATCACCTTATCACTGCTTTGAGACATTAGTGCTAAATCACCTCTGCACAGGGAAAAAAGGTAAGAAAAGAAAGTCGGGGATTGTCGGGTAGATGGTATCAAAGGAAGAGGGGCTGTGGTCTGTGGACACATATCAAATCATAGTAGATTGATAGCCAATGTGGACATTGGCATCACAACAATTCGGGTCTTTCTATGATTACCTAAACTGAATCTGACCAAAAAAGAGGCTGAGAAGCTGCAAATTGCTCCAGTTCAGTTTGCCAAGGTAGATGCAGCCTGACAATCCTGGCCATGAGCTGAAAAATTGCTACCCTGTTTCCCCAAAAATAAGAGCTAACCTGAAAATAAGCCCTAGTATGATCTTTCAGGATGCTCGTAATATAAGCCCTACCCCAAAAATAAGCCCCAGTTAAGTGAAACCCCACCCTCCACCCTTGAGCAGCAACCAGAAGATGACGTGACTGTATCTGAATAAATGTCGATTGTTGTACATCAAAAAAATTAAACATCCCCTGAAAATCAGCCCCAATGCATTATTTGGAGCAAAAATTAATACAAGACCCTGTCTTATTTTCGGGGTCACAGAAACACAGTAGCTCCAATCTCACTTCATACACAAAGTCAGTAGGTATGATTAGGGAAGCCACTGTTTCTGAAGAATATTACTGTGCTACTCCATTGAAATTATCCAAGCTGAAATGGTACTTTTTAAACCTGGACTTACTAAGTGTACTTTAAACATGACCATAAGATTATGGGTGCTCATTCAGTATTGTGGGATCTTTGTGCGTAAAGGTCTGCCCCGTGGCCCGATGGAAAACTATAAAATACTTTTGAGATTTATTGCTTTCAGGAATTACTGGGAAAGGAAACAATAAGCTCTCCATGGATATTAACAGAAGTGTATTCTAGGAGCAACTGCCTTGTAAGAACACATAAAAATGGCTTTTCACGTGTGACATATTACAATACTTTGACAAACATATTGTAAGCATTTCAAGCCAGTGTGTGCCTATTCTGCATAGAAATGGTGTGGAAAGAACCCTAGTTATGTTGACACCATGATTCTTGTCGCTGAACACAGCTTCACAATATGTCTACCTTTGTGAAAACCTATTGTGACAAACCCAGACCTACTGGGATATGTCACACAGTTACTAAGCTGCCACCAACCATTCCCTTTAAGAAGTCACACAGACCAGGGATGGATTTTCAAACAATAAAAAGAATAAGGTTTATTTTAAATACACACAGGGAAAAATAAACAATCAGGTGAATAGGATAAAGTAACGTGGCTTATTCTCACTCATACAAGCATACAGTTTGGTTCACCCAGAACCCTTAACTTGAAGCACAGACCCTGAACCTATCAGTTCTGGCTAACCAACAGACACCTGAACCTATCAGGTTGGTACTCTGACACACAGTAGTACCCTGTCTGACACACAGACTCCCACAACAGCTTCTTCTTCCCAGCTGCTGCTTCGTCACATCCCAGTGTCTCACAGTGTCTCTCAGTGTCTCTCAGTGTGTCTCAGTGTGTGCCTCTCACCACACAGGCATCACATTTATATACAGTACAGCCCCTCCTCCTGATGTCCCGCCTTCCACTCCCCATAGGATGGAACTTTCCCTCCAAACCCATGACAGACAGGTAACATCAGTGCTGTATGTAACACCTATGTCTTTTTCACATATCATGTTTATATCATGCTGATGCCTGAACACAGCTTCACAATATGTCTACCTTGTGAAAACCTATGTATTTTTCACATATCATGTTTATATCATGCTGATGCAACTTTGACATGGAATCTTTAACATAGGTGGAACAGTAGCATCAGTTCACCTCTTGTTTGTACAATATCTTGTGACGGTTCACAGCACTATTTCCTATAGCAGAAGATCTGCTGAGCTGATAATTGTAACATCAAGTCCTGTCCACCTATTTGTTGCCATTATATCAGCCAAGAACATAGCCTTAGAAGCAACAATCAGCAATGTTCTTTACAGCAGCTAGATAAACATACACTGGCAGTCACTGAACTGCTGTAACAGCACAGGTCTCCATGCCTCTTTGCCAGTCCTACTTAATTCAGCTATAGCTTAGTCTCAGACAGGTGTTGAAAGCATTTCAGCCATAGTCCTATTGAAAGCAATGGGTCTTAAATTGGACACAATTAACTTGCCCCATTGCTTTCTATAACCCTTGGATATTAATTGCAAGGTCAGGACTTGTGTGATCTAGGGCCTTCTCATACTGCATTAAAAGCGTTCATGCTTGATGTTTTCTGGGAGAGAGTACACAAAAGCATTTCTGATTCTTAATTATTCAAAGAGAGCCATAAAAGGGCTACCTCTTCACAGACATATAGTTGAATTGAAGAAACCAGGAGTAAGCTCTTGCATGTTTATGACATCTGGCAGTAAAAGTACTAAACTTAACATTCTTTACATGGACACACCAACCTCCTGGTAGTTGAATCTTGGTGCTCTCCAAATAAAGTAGGGTTCACAAGTCTGAAGTCTGCCTATCAATGTCTCAGGAGTTCTTAGGAGTATATTACTTAAACATATTGATAGATACCAAATTGTGGCCATGCGGAAGAAAAATTTAAATCCCATTTCTGAAAATTAGGCCTCTCATATACTGGAAAGCCAGCCAAATATTCATGTATAATCCTAGCGGAGATTTTTTTACATTTGACACCAGGCAACTGATCTTGGCTGTTGGAGGTAATGCTGCATAATGGGTGAACAAATTATCATCTTTCCTATACAGTTGGACTGCAACTGCCATCAACCCTAGGCAGTGTGACCAGCTGGAAACTATAGTCCAACACCATTTTGAGGACTGAATTTTGTCTTTCTATGCTACATAAGGAACTAGGAAGTCACAGGAAAATGGAAGTGAACCATGTTGAGAGATGTGTGCAGACTGTCCAGCAATAATACTCTTCATCAGCTATCACTCTGATGGTTAGAACGTGAGAGCTCACCCTGACGCCACTGCTGATGTGTGTCACAGCCAAACAAACCCCTCCAGCAGATTTAGTCACTAAGGAATATAGGAGCCTTCCCTAATTGAGTTTCCTGGGTATATGTATAATCTAAAAAATTCTATGAAATAACGTTGCAACCCTGATGCTTAATCTGAATGCTGCCAGAACAGAGACACGTGAGCATCAAATGTATTATAGAAATCAGTATATTTATATGAGACACCCAAAATGACAGCACTATTTTCTATTTCTGACTCATTACTGATTTTGTAGTTTGTGTGACTTCCAATAATTCCAGAAATGCGACTTGATTTACTGCAGTTTTCAGTGATGTAACTGAGTTAG